CAATGGAATGTGATTGAGCCTTAAAAAGGAAGGAACACCTGACACATTCTATAATATGGATGAACCTTGAAGACATTAAGTGAAATAAGCCAGACACAAAAAGATAAATACTGAATGACTCCACTTATATGAGGTACCTAGAGTAGCCAAATTCATGGAAAGTAGAATGGTGTCTGCCAGGGCTGGCAGGATGGGAGGAATGGGGAGTCAGTGTTTAATGAGTACAGAATTTCAGTTCCCCAAGATGAAAAAAGCCTCTGGAGACAGAAGGTGGTGACGGTTGCACAACAATGTGAATGTACTTAATGCCACTGAACCATACACTTAAAAATTATTAAAATGGTACCTTTTATACTACGTATATTTTACCACAACTAAAATAATTAATTGATTGACTAATTAAAAGACCCAACCCCTGTGGCTCCCCCAACAGGGCCAGCTGGGTGCTCAGCCACTATTCCCACGGCACCCGGCCCAGCGGCCCCTCACTGGGGAGGGCTGGGTACTCCCTAAGGGGCAAGCAGGCTGTCTTCTCTATCTGCTCTGAGTCATGCCTGGCACACATAGTAGCAGCTCAGTAAATGCTTGTGGAATGAATGAGCTGAGAATATAGAGAACACTTTCTCTGTAATTGATGTGAGATATGACAAGAATCTTTTCTTAGTGTCAGGTTGGAGACAGGAATGCTGTGTGTTTGTAGACCACTCCTCTCATTGGTCTGCTGGCTGTGGACATGGGGAGGTAGACATTTTTCCTCTCTGCCCACAGGGTGCACCATCCACCCACGGGTATCTGAGCATCGCGGACATTGTAGCACTGTCATTATAATTCAGAACCACGCCACAGCTGAGCCAGACACCAGGGCGACCTGGGGACACAGCCAAGTCCTTGAAGGAGACGGGAGAGGAGATGATAATCTTAAAAGGGGGAGGTTCGGGAGAGGCTGGGGAGAGAAGGGAAGGGGGTGCACGGCAGCCCTCCCCAGATCCTGCTACCCCCCACTGTGTACTACATCCCCAGGTCCGCAGTTTCCCCTTGCTCCAGCCCCCCAGGGCTCCTGGGTCTCTGAGGATGAGGCTCTCCTTCAAGCCAGTGAGCCCAGACCCCCGTGCTCTATCCTGAACCCCTCCCAAGTTCCAAACAGATGGAGCCCTGTGAGGAAGGTATTTCTTCAGTAGAGGTGCAGCGTCCCCTGGAGGAGGTGGCCTTCTCTCCATCCCACAGACAGTGGGGTCTCTGGAGTGATCCTCCCCACCACCCACAACCTGTAAACCTGAGGGCTCCGGTGTCCTGGCCAGTCAGGTATGGGCCGTTCTCACTCAGCCAGGACCCTCTCAGCCTGGCTAGGTTTCCCCTGCTCCCTGAAATCTTTGGACTACAGGGTGACCTGACCTTGACTCTTGCTTGGTAGCCTCCCAGGAGCCTGCTCTGCCTTCACAGGGGGAACAGTCTGCAGCCACCTCCTGGGGCAGACGCTTTACATACTGCACCCCCTCTACCCTTCTGCACCCCTGCAAGAAGCCCCAGGGCCCCCTCTTACAGGCTCTGCTCCTCAGTGGCTTTTGTCACAACTGTAACGGACTGCCTGAGTGGTGAGTTGTTTAGCATCATACCCTGCTAGCATGCAAAGTCCAGGTCCCCCGGGTCACTACCCCTACTCCCCATGTGATACGTTCCCAATTTACTAAGTAATCCTTGTGTGTGTGCCCTCCTGAATACAAGGTGAGCTTCCCACTGACAAAGACGTGTCCCCCTCAGTCCCCACCATGGTTCCTGCCTCTAGCTGAGTGTCTGAGAGCACAGCCGGCAGTTCCCAGTGATGGAGGCAGAGGTTAAACCTTTGCTGAATGGATGGGTGGTGGACATCAGCATTCCCATGTCACAGAAGAGAAAACTGAGGCTCAGACTAGGTAGCCTGCCCAAGTCCCCACAGCTACTAAGTGGCAGAGCAGGGTGTATGAACTAGTCGGCTCAATACAAGCACTTATCTTCCTCCACAATGGTGACCTCTTTGCAAGAGTGCCCACTGGCACGGGGTTCCGGCTGCGTCAGTGCCTTTACTCTGCCTCTCCCGATGTGGTGCCTTCGCTGGGCGGCCCCTCCCTCTAATCCCTGTCTCCCTCCTCCCAAGGCCGAGCACGGAGGTCCCGGCTTAGAGCGGCCTCTGCTGGCATGTCCTGGAGGCCCTTGTCCCAGGTGTGGGGATGGCACGGCCCTCCTCTGACCTTGACGCTGCAGCTGCAGGAGGGGCAGGGGTCTGGGAGGAGGTGAGGGTAGGCAGGGGGGCTCTCAAAGCCCTAGGTCTGAATCTGGCAATGACCCCAGAGCCAAATGACTTGTTCAACCAGAGAGGCTGAAACATCTCCACCTGTCACCACGTATCAGATAGGAGAGGCATCTGGGGGACCCACAGGGGTCTCAAGGGTTCCTTGGCCTTTGGCCTGCCTCAGCCCACAGGTGGTAACTCAACACCAGAGCATTTGACAGGCCCCCCAGAATCCTGGGGGTTATGTGCTGTGCAGTAATTCTCCTCGTGGCCTCAGGGCCAGGGGAGAATGAGGTCACGGAGCGTGGTGGGTGCCTGTCTGTCACCCTTCCTCACCCAGGCCAAACTTTCCTGCCACCCATTAGCCTCTTCCCTTCCTTAGAGCCAGGCCCAATCTGTCACACGGCAGAGCTGATTTATTTTTCTTGTGGCCTTGCTCTCAGTGGGGTTAGAGAACAGCATGTCATCACCCTCTCTAAATATTACAACTCCACAGAGAGTTGACGAATGTGACTCATCACCCTTCCACTCCAGCTCGAGAATCCCCAGGCCTTTCTTTGTTGATAGAAGTGCGATAATAATCATAATAATAACAGTAACAACAATAAGAGCTGCTCTCAATTAGCGAACACTTGTTTTGTGCCAGATATTGTCCTAAGCACTTTCCTCACATTATTTCATTTACTCTTTACAACCCTGTTAACTAGGTACTCTTCCTATCTTGTCACGCAGATGAGGATACTGAGGTTCAGAGTGGCTCAATGCCTGTAACTTGCCCTGGTCACACAGCAGAGTCAGGATGACATGCAGGGCTGCCTAACTCCGGGCCCCAGGGCTAGTCACTGGACCACAAGCCAAGCCCCAAAGTGCATTTCTACACTGTGATGTCATCCCTCCACCTACTACTCAACCCCCAACCCAAGCCAAAGGTTCAGCCCCAAACCAGAGACCAGAGCAAACAATGTGTTTCCATCAAAAGCTGCACCCAGCAAGCGGGGCAGCGGCTGATGAAACAGGGAAAGGGGCTCCAGCGGGAGATTTGCATATGATTGCTTGCGCCTGGCCTCTGATGTGAACCAGCCACCCCTAGTTCTGGCAATTTCAGAGCCAGAATTACATCTATCCCCATGCAAATGATGGCATCTTGGCTTTTCCCTTTCATCTCTTTCCTGATTGCTGTCATTGATCCTGAGCACATTCTAGAACCCCCACTGTGGCTGGGGTCTGACTCTGGCCATGCAGATCCTCGGGCCACTCTGTGATGAGGGTACTGCTCTTTTATTGACCCAAAGTCGCAGCCTCTGTGGGAGCAGAGGGATGGAGGGGGTGCCACCCTGGGCTGGGCCACTCACTGGGGAAGAGGCCTGAGACTGACCTCTGCTGGAGGGCTGGAGGCCCAAGAGCCAGCAACAGAAGGCTGGGCATTGAGGCGATGCCCGCCCTGTGGGAGGACAGAGGGGTAAGAGGGCCACGTTCTGGGAAGACACAGAGGTGGCCAGATGTGCTGGAAGTACTGGCCAAGCCAGGCTGAGAACCTGTGCCTTGAGTGCAGGACTGTTTCTGAAGGGCAACTTTCCTGGATTTAACTTTGTGTTCCAATTTATAGTTAAATAAATCCGCTGGAAGCTCTGCTAAGAGCAATCAAGGAAAGACCTTTTGTCCATGCTCTATCTGGAACAGAGCCATGCCAGGGCCAGTGGGGTGGTGAAGACAGGACCACGAGAGAAAATTCCAGAAGGGTGGAGCACAGGGGTATATATGTGTTGGGACCACCTGGCAGGTCCCTCCTTTCCAGCTGAACCTTGGGCCTCTGGGATTTGTTCTGATGAAGAAGGCTGTTTCTCTACACGTCCTAAGGTGGGGATATTATTCCATTTAACGTCTTTATGGAAAATTCAACCCAAACCTCCAAAAGGTTCTCTTTACACCAATCTTAGAGGACTGTGGGTCCTAGGAAAATGCTCCCAGGGAGAAAGTAACCCCTCAAAGGCAAACACAGCAGTTCCTCTTCCGGGCATGTGGGAGGATTATCGGCTTTCCAGGAGCCACGCTGGATGAAGGCCACTGCATCGCCTCGTGTCCCCATGGAATATGCAGAAGCGGATTTTGCACTCTATTAATCTACATCTGCTTGCACATCCCTGCTGTCAGCACTTCTGTCTAGGGCAGCAGCAAACAGGCAATAAAAAGAGCATGGGCTTTGGAGTGGGCCGACCTGGAGCACCCTGGCTTTACCATTCCTGACTGAGTGACCTTGGGCAAGGGTCTCAGCCGTCCCCATACAAAGGATGCTGATAAGGGTCCCTACCCTGCAGGGCTGTCAGCCTCCTGATAGGATTAGTAATAAGGTGGTACAGTGCCTGGCACACACTAGCTTAGAAGGTATGGAAACTGCTGTGAAGATTGAGATGATGATGGTGACATTCGGGCCCCACATCTATGCTTTCTGTCTCTCTTGTTAGGCTAGGAGTTTCCCCAACAGCTGGTGGTGTGGCTTTCTTCTTCCTCTTCCTTCCTTCTACATCCTCTCCCTCAGCCTCACCTCCTCCCACCAGTACCAAATCACTTAACAGACCTAAAGGGGTAGGGCTGGGGCACTCCAGACAACACACATTCCAAAGCCACCAGACCACTCTGTTGGGCTGTGTCCTCTTGAAGGGGAGGGAGGGGGGATGTCATCTCCTTTGGGGTTTGGTCTTCCCACCCTGGCCTCACCCCCCAGCCTCAGCCCTACCTCACGTTGTCATGTTTCTGGATGTAAATCTTATGGAACATCATATCCTCCTGCTTGGCGTTGATGTCTGCTTTCATCTCCATGGCAACGTGACGGGGAAGGACAGACAGCAGGAGCCGCTCCTGGGGAGGCAAGCAGATGCTTTCATCACAGCTCCTCCCCTTGCCTGGCAGTCCCCTCTCCTCCCAAGGCTTCACTCCTTCACATCTGTGCCCCCACCCGCAGGGCCCTGGAAAATCTCTCAGGCTCTCCTGAAACTCGTGTGGCCAACACTGCGTGTGTTGGGGGTGGAAGTCATCCCCCAGGGTTCCCTGGCTCCCATCTCCCTGGGACACCTCCTGGTTCTTCAATGCATAAGGGGAAAAGCAGTCCTGGTGAACCTGTATACCAAACACCTTGGGTCAGAGTCCTGGTTGTCACCTGAGACCTTGGGCAAATGACTGAACTTCTCTGAGCCTCAGCTTCCTCATCTGTAAATAAGGATGGGGTTGTTGGATGCATTAGATGAAATTCATGCAGTCATCAGATATTCACTGAGCATCTACCTACCATGTTCCAGGCATAGTGCTGGGTGCCCGGAGTTATAACCATGAATGAGACAGGCAAGGTTCCTCCTTCACAGAGTCCCCGTCTCGTGGGGCTACAGGGTACAATAGGGCACTGAGCAGGGGGATCTAACCTAGGCTGAGGAGAAGTGGGTGGTCACAGTGTGGGGACCAGAGGATGAGGTGTGGAGAAAGGGGATCCATTTCCACATTAGGGAATGGTAGCCCAGGAGGACAGGAAAGCTCACCGACTTTGAGAAACTGAGAAATCAAGATCAGCTGAAGGGGAGATGGGAGAGAAGCAGGGAGAGGGGTCAGGGTTACCCTGTGAAGTGGGGTGGGGTCAGCGTCACCCTGTGAAGTGGGGTAGGGTCACGTCAGCTCATGATGGGGTCGACTTTGCTCCCTTTCTGCATTCTCCTCCGGGGCCTGCCAGCTCCAAGAGGTCCAGATGCCCCCAAAGCAGGTGACCTTCACACCCAATGTCTTACTACCACCATCTGACATCAGGCCCACTCACCCTCCCTGATGTTCACTCCTGGCGGCTCCTCTTCTCAAGTTCCCTGCCTTTGCCCATGACACCCCCAACCGCCTGATCACCAAGGTCAAGACTTTGCCTGTGTAAACTGCTCTTACTTTTCAGAACTTTTCCTCTGCGACTCATTCCTCTCCCTTCAGCACCGTATCCAGCCCTGATCAAGCCCCACTGGTGGGACACAGCACTGGACTTGTCCTTCCTGTCCTCCATCCACCCACTGCCTCCATGAAGTTCTCACCCAACTGGGATTCCAGCCACGCTGTTCAAGCCGGACAGCCTCTCCTCCGCCCTCCTTGCTGCCTGTATGGCCCCATCTCTCCAATACCCTGCCTTTGTCATGTCACTCCTCTGCTCCAAACCTCCAAAGCTTCCCTGGGTTCCACCAGCCCCATCAAATGTGGATTCTTCTGGACCCACAAGTTCACTCCTTATTTTCCACTGCAACCCAATGCCTTCACTCCATCAGCCCCATCCCGTGCCTGCCCACTCCCTCCAGCCCGGGCCTGGCTGGCATTCTCCTCCGGAAGCACCATCCCATCATCCCATTCTCTGCCTCCAGCAGCCCTGGGCCTCTTTCAGGTCCTGTCTGGATGACCAGGACAGTCTCTGAATTGGTTTCTCTGTCTCCAAGCTTGCTGCCTTTGACTCACCCTCCACTGCAAGCCAGCCAGTGATCTTCCTAAAAGATACACCTGACCATGTTACTGCCCCATATAAGCCCTTCTATGCCTCCTGCAGCTTCCAGGGTCAGCCACGCCCCCAGTCTGGCCATGGCCTGGCTTCTCCTGCCCCATGCTCCCCTCCTAGTGGTCCCTAAACTGAAATCTGCCCTCTGCTCCAGACAGCATGAACACAGGAAGCTTCCCAAGCTTTTCATAGTGTTTTCTTGTGTTGGCCCACAAGCTCCTCAGCTAGAATCACCATCCTTACATACTGCTGTTGCTACCTTTCCTCAGGCTCACCCCTTCCGAGGAGGAGGGTCCTGGCTCTGGCTGCCAGCATCCACCCCGGGCCTTCCTGTAGAGTCCCCGATGGCTCTGTTTCAATGGTCTGTTACCGGGGTCTCCCTGAGGATGGGAGCTGTGTCTTGTTCAGCTCCACCACTGACAGCCTTATACTCGGGAAACTCTGTGAGCTAGTGAGCTCTCTGTGGGCCGGCCTGGTCTCCCCTGGCATCATTGGATATGGTTATCGAAGGCCATCTCAGTAAACTCTCAGTAAACAGCTATTGGTGCTAAAAATACAAATTAAAGGACAATTTTGAGGAAATATAATTTTGAGGACTGGGAGAAAGTGTGCTACGAATTGTTTAGATTCATGAGAGACCTCCCTTCCCGCTCCCCTGGAGAACACCTTAATCCCAGTGGGGAGGGCTGATGGTCTGACCACCCCAACTCATCAGCTCCTGGGGAGGGGTGGAGGGCCACTTCCTGCCGCTCAGGGCCCAGGTTGCTTGGTTTGCTCGCAAACTACAGGGAGTCACTGAGGAGGCAACAGGCAAGGGCAGGGCTAGAGCCCCTTCTCCAGAGCCTCCCCCAGAGCATTCCCACAGAGCCAGGAACGCTGGGCTCCCTCCAGGGAAAACATTGCACAGCTGGCGGGGAGGAGGCAGTGGGGCTGAGGCAGGATCCCCCCAGCCCCCGGCCAGCTGCGCAGGGCAGGAGGGCCTCACTCACCTGCTGCTGATTCTCCCGCTGTGAATGGAGCCGCGCCTGGATGCACTCCCGGGTCTCCTGGAAGGCCTGTCTCTGGGAGACCTCAGCCGGGTAGTGGGTACAGACACCCACGATGTTGGTGCAGGAGAAAATGAGGACATTGGAGACAAGCTGCAGAGGGAGAGACAAGGACATGGAGCTCAGGCCTGGAGCGAGCACTGGGCACCAGAGCCCCAGCCCTGACCCTTCCGGCTCCAGCGCTCAGAGCTCCTAGGCCCCACTGTAGCAAACACACACCTCGCTGCCAGCAAACAAATGCCAAAGGTATCTACCCAGCCAGCGACTGGGAGTAGCCAAGTGTAACCCGTTGGGCTCGCTGACGTCCTCAAAGCCCAAAGCTTGGCTGGCCTGTGATGGAGTATGGCCCTAAGGATGCTTAGTCACTGGATAATCACACTGGCCGTGCACAAAATACCAGAGGTTAAAAGGCCGGGTGTGCTGGCGATGCTGTGACAGAGCTGTGTGTGTTAGGGGTGGCAGGGGCATTGTAAAGAAGCTTCCTTGACAGTGTAGGATGTCACTATTTGAAAGTATGACATGTTCCACATCAGACAAAAGACTGCTCTTCCACAGAGAGGCCTTAGCTGGTCATTTCTCAGGGATCAGCTCCAACGAAGCAAATACTTGCTGATATCCAGCACTGTGCCAAATCCTCTGGGGACTGAGAGGATAATAAGGTCCCCGTCAGCAGGGACCAGTGTCCACAGCAGGTCTCATCTCCTTCTCTGCACCAGAGCCTCCTGACACCCCCACCACCCAGTGGCGGGTACCCACCCTTGCTCCCTGCTCCACCCCAATGCTCTCCTCCGTGCTGGCAGAGATGCATGTGTGGAGAAACACCACTGCCCCTCAGGTCACAGAAACGAGGCTGGAATTCTTTTGAAAGCAGTACTTACTGAAAAGCTAAGGGAAAACACAAGCTACGAAAGCGTGTTTAGGCATCACATTCCAGATCCTGGCAAAGGTGCCGTTTGGTCAAAACTTCTCTTGGCAGGTACAGCTCCTGGCATATCTGGGTAAACGGAGCCTGGTCCTGCCTTTGCCTCAGGCCACACAGGACAGAAGCCACGCAAAGGTGCACAGCTTTCTAGGCCTCAGTCACTCCCTCCAAACGCTTAGTTCTTAGTACCAGCTGCAGAAGGGGAGCCCAGGTTGGCCCCTGCCCCTTCAGCTGTGGCTCCTCCAGCCCTTGGGAGCCCTGTGTTGGTCCCTACTCCATTTGTCCATTTGGATCGCAAAGAGCCTGCCTCTGGGACTTCAGCTGCCTGGCGGTGACCAGCAGCAGCTCCCACACTCCTCTTTCAGGGACCTCTTTGTCTCTGGACCTAGAAGTCCTGTCCTTGGCTCTGGGCTGCATTCTACCTGAAGGCTTTCCCCACCCCAGAGGTGGGTCTGACAACCACCCAGGGTCTCAGAACTGGAGGCCATGTGGGATCCATGCTGGATGTGGTGCCATCTTTCCCTGGAGATATCCTATACCATCTGTCCCAGCCCATGAACAGAAAGAGACTTTCTTTCCTATCTCAGTCATGCTGTCTCCTCGACTGCATAATACATTCTGGCTTCCCAGCTGAAGGACACTGTGAGCTCCCCTCAAGCACCTCCTGGATACCTCCCGGATGCCTGTTTAAGGAGCCTTCAGGGAAGGGGCAAACTCAGATTACCAGCTCCCCCAACCCTACTGCTGACTCACAACACCCCATCCCAAACCCACCCAACCCAGAAACCTACCATTGCCACTTTATGCAAACATACCGCAGAGAAAAACCCAACCTAATGATCATAGGCAAAGAAGACACCTGCTCTACCAAAGCTTATAGTCTGATTGAGGAGATAAGTGGTCAAGACTGACAGAGAACCAACAAGAGGAAGCAGAAACTGACTCCTACCAAGCAAGAGGGACAAGAGGGGAAGATGGAGTGATGAGAGGAGGCCCCTGGGTAGACCCCAGATGCACTGAGCCCCAGGATTAGGGGCATATTTGGCAAGGCTGGCAGACATGGGTAAGAGCGTCCCTGGAGAGAGTATCCAGGAAGCTCAGGCATGTAAGGTACTCAGGGTCCTTGACTAAATAACCCAGGCTCCCTGATCCTGAGGGGAAGTCTACAGGGAGAAGATGGAGCCAGAAAGACAGACTGGAGCCAGATTGAAGAGGCATCTGAAAGTCAGGCTGAGATGACCTGGCACAATCCTTCTACAAGAGAAGCCACAAACACTGTTAAACCAAAGAATGAGCACAGAGTTTCATCAGGGGCGAGAGCAGTGCAGGTTGTTGAGAGATGGGTCAGGAGGCTTCTGCAGAATCCCAAAGTATCGGGGAGCAAAAACCTATATGAGGCTGGAGGCTGGCAAGGTAGAGCTGACTCAGAAGGAAGATCAGGGAGGAGAAGGTCCAGGAAAAAACAGACCATGGCCTGCAGTATAAACCAGTGCAGTGGCTATGAAGGGAGACTCTGAGGACATGCCTCCTGGAAGTCACTGGAGGACACTGAGAGAGAGCTAAGGAGAGAGAATGAGATGAGGAGGTGGAGGCTGAAGGTGCAGACTACAGAGAATTTTGAATAATTTTCTAGCTAAGGCATATCTTTTGAAAGGAGAGAGGAAGGTGCCAGATGATAAAAACATGAGTGAGACAGGAGAAACTAGAGAGGAGAATATGAGGAGCTGCCTTCAGACAGAATAATGAGTCATGATAATGCAACATGGCCAAGTGGGGTTTATCCCAGAAATGAAAAGTTGGTTCAACATTGAATATCAATGTAATTCACCATATTAACAGATTAAATAGAAAACCATATGGTTATTTCAATAGTTACTGAAAAAGTATTAGGCAAAATTTAACATCTATGCAATTTTTTTTTAAAAACTCAACAAATTAGAATGGAAGGGAAATGCCTCAATCTGGTCAATGACATGCACAAAAACCTATAGCTAACACCATACTTAATAGTGAAAGACTGAATGTTTTCCCCTAACACTAGGAACAAAGCAAGATTGTCCCCTCCCGTTACTTGTATTCAACATTATACTGGAGGTCCTAGACCATGTAATAAGACAAGAAAAAGAAATAAAATGCATATAGATTAGAAAGGAGGAAATAAAACTGTCTGCATTTGCAGATGGTAAGATCACCTATGTAGAAAATCCCAAAGAATCTACAAAACAGCTACCAGAATTAACAAGCAAATTTAGAAATACAAGGACACACGATCACAGGATACAAAGTCAATATACAAAAAGCAACTGTATTTCTATAAGCAAGCAGTGAACAATCAGAAGTGAATTTTTTTAAAGTGCCATTTAAATATCACCAAAATGATGAAATATTTATATATAACTCTATCAAAATATTGCAAACCTATTCACTGAAAACCATAAAACATCGATGAAAGAAATTTTAAAAGACTAAAATAAATGAAGAGACACACCATGTTCAAGTATTGGAAAACTAAAAATTGTTCAGATGTCAATTCTCCCCAAACTGATGTATAAATGCAACACAATCATAATCAAAAACCAAGCATGTTTTAAAAAAAAAATTAACCGAAGCTAAAATTTATATGGAAGAGCAAAGCAACTAGAATAACCAAAATAATTTTGAAGAAGATGAATCAAGTTGTAAGACTCACACTACTCAATTTCAAAACTTACTATAAAAGTACAGTAATTAAGTTAGTGCGATACTGGTCTAAGAATGGAAATATGGATCAATAGAATAGAACTGAGAGTCCAGAAATAGACCCTTACATTTATGATTTGTTGGTTTTTGACAAGAGTACCAAGATAATTCAATGAGAACGGAGAAGAATAGTCTTTTCAGCAAATGATGCTCAGATAAGTTTATATCCACATGCAAAAGAATGACCTCTACCTCATATTATAAACAAAATTAACTCAAAGTAGGTCAGACACCTAAATATAAAAGCTACAGCTATAAAACTCTTAGAAGAAAACATACAAGTAAATCTTCATGACCTAGGATTAGGCAATGATTTGTTAGATACTACACCAAAAGCACAAATGATAACAGGAAAAAGAAAGAAGATATATTGCACTCCATCAAAATTAAAAAGTTTTGGACTTCAAAAGGAACCATCAAGAAAGTGAAAAGACAACCCACAGAATGGGAGAAAGCATCTACAAATCACTTATCACACCTTTATGTTTGACAAATATACAGAGGCAACTAAATGGAGGAAGAATAATCTTTCAACAAACAGTGCCAGAACAACTGGATATCCATATGATTAACTCAAACCTTACAAAATATACCAAAATGTACTCAGAACAGTTTGTAAGACTAAATGTAAAAACTAAAACTATTACACTTCCAGAAGAAAATACAAAACTTTGGATTACGCAGAGATTTCTAATATACAACAGCAAAACATGATTCATAAAAGAAAAGTAATGATAAATTGATAAATTAGGCTTCATCAAAATTAAGAACATTTGCCTCCAAAAGACACTGTTAAGATAATGAAAAGACAAGCCACAGAAAAGGAGAAATTGTTTGTAAATCACATATCTGATAAAAGGACTAGCATCTATTTAATAAAAAGACTTGCATCCAAAATTCATAAAGAGATCTCAAGTCAAAAATAAGAAAACAAAACCCACTTTTTATATGAGTAGAATATTTGAGTAGACAATTTACCAAAGAAAATAAAAGGAAGACAAATAAGCACACAGAAAGATACTCAAAATCACTAGCCATTAGGGAAACGCAAAATTTTTTTTTTAAAAATCAATGAGATACTACTAAACACTATTAGAATGGTTAAAATGAAATTAAATTTTAAAAAAGAAAAGAAGAGAAAAAGGAACTGCCAATACTGGTACTGGTAAGAGTGTGTAGCAACTGGAATTCTGATACCTTGCTAGAAGGAATGAAAAATGGTACAGCCACTTGGAAATTAGCTTAGCATTTCTCATAAAAGTACACACAACACTTGTCATATGACCAGCAACCTTGCTCGCAGGTACCTGCCCAAATCAAAGGAAAAGTTACGTACACACAAAAACCTGTGCAGGAATGTTTATGGAATACCACTCATCTACAAAACAGAACAATCCACTGATAACACCCAACAACATGGACGAGTCACAAA